TTATCAGGAAGGCACTGTACTCCCCTCAAAATCCGTCGGTGAGCTCTTCGTGGTATTACCACCACCTTCACTTTCAATCTAACCATACCTACCTGTCTTTCTCTCTCTTCACCTATCTCTTCACTTCACGTGTTTAACCTGATGGCCAATTGGCTAGCGCTCTGGCTTGTGGCACCACAGGCTTTAAGTTCGAATCCTGGCGATGGCATGGATGTTTTCAGCTCGGGTGTGTCATCTACGTTAGTGGTTTGGAATTCACTCTAAACGGTTGGTCCCGGTCTAATTAGCCTAAAGTGTCAGAAAATGACCGTAGAGCGACAAGCCAAACCCTCACTGTGCACTTATAAGTTCATTTCCCGCTGTAACGCAAGTAAGCAATGTGACCAATTATCGCTCCTGACAGTGGGATTATAAAACCCCAGTGCGGAGGTGAGATGTGTAAGAAAAAAAAAAAAATGCATTATTACCCAGAAAGTGCTTTGGTTTTTCTTTTAACTATTCTAATTTTCTTCTAATGCAGCTGGCAATACAGAGACAGTTAATCTTTATGCCATAAGGAAGACCTGTACCTCTATTACTCATTTAGCGCTCCCAGGGGGCACTTGTATCTTGAAGATAGACTACAGACGCGAGTAACACTACCTCCACAACTCTCTACGATGAAATTAGACTGGGACCTACGGTTCAAAGTGGATTCCGAACCACTACAAACATCCATAGCACCGCTGGGACTCGAACCTAAGAGAACGCCAGAGCGCACTACGCACTCGGCCATAAGGTCCTTCTTTTAAATATATGATAAACAAGTAATATATATATATATAAAAATTTAAGTCAATTCCTACTTTTTTTCACTATATTCCAGAAAGTCCTTTATAAATAATCTTCATTCATTTTTTTAAGTTTATCTGGCGTCATCTATTGGTAGATACTTGCAACTTAAATCTAAGAAAATCTAAAATTAATTAATTAAATTTAGTTAATGAATTAATATTTGAAAATACTGTATTAACATTCAGTGTCATCCACTGCAAGTTAAAAAAAATGCATCTGAACTGGAGTGGATGAATAAAAAGTATTTTATGAACGATTGAAAATTTGAACAAGATATATATAGGGAGAGTGTGAGCTAATAGAAGGAATTGGAAAAAAAAAAAAAAAAGTGATTTCATGAAATAATTTTAATCAAATCTTTTATCGATTAAGATCTCTTCCATTTTCTATTTATTATAAGTAATGTTTACTTTTTTTTTTTTTTTTTTAATACGATTATTTATTATTTTTTTATTATGCTTATTGTCAAAAGCATATTTCTTTACTTCAACTTTCAAATCAATAAAGAATGAAATTAAGAATATTTTCAATTGGTCGTTTGTATTCTTGTTGTGAGAAGTCCTTGCATATTTTTAGCGGCGTTGATATTTCCTGCGTCAATGCAACAGGCAGCAGACAAACAGCGGATGTGAGAGTGATTTGCGAACAGCCGCGTTTCCTTTGGTTTCACTCTACATGTGCATAAAAAGCTGATGCACTAATTGTGTGACAGTTTCGTTACTAGGATGCAAAAAAAAACTTTCTTCTACTTTCGTTTTCAAAGCTGAAACTTGTAAGCGGAAGAATTAATAAAACAATGAATTTCTCAATGCGATTTGAAACAATAGTTTGGGTCGAATACTGGTTTTAATTATTACTTCATTCTGATAGTTAAGAAATGTGTGAATTTGACTGCTGGTTATTATTATTATTTTTTAAAAAGATTTGGTTTGTCGCTGTACGGTCATTTTGTGCGCACTTTGGATCTACAGTTTAACGTGTATTCCAAATTACTTACAAATATTCATGCCAAAGCCAGGATTCGAACCTGTAGCCTGTTCTACCAACGTCACAGTTTAAGATCAAATAATTCATTTCGATATCTTTTTTTTTTTTATTTATTTCCGTAAAAAAAAAAAAAAAAAATAAATAAATAATAAATAAAAAATAAATAATCTTCTATTAAATAGACGACTAGTGATATTTAAATGTTTCATAATTTCTCTTATATGTTGACTATTTTATATAAATGCTGTCATTAACGATAGATGGCGTAGCCGGCGCTGACGTCGTAGATGACGCAACCGCGCTGAATGAATAACTGTAAATGCTATTAATGCAAGTTTGACGACGACATCAGTGGCACTGAAGAGAAATGTTTGTTCATAGTAAAATAAAGTATATTATTAGTTTCAAATTGTAATATTTAGTAGGAATAGGTTTTTAGATATATTCCATATATCAAAATGTTTATTAGTCCATTATTGTGATATCACAGTGTACGTATATTACTTGAAAGTGTTGTTATTCTCGCATGCTAGGCACTTCTAAGGCTATTCGCCTCTAAAACGCACATATATAGCAGATTCAACATTATCCAGTGTGTAACCTAGTGGGCGCTACATCGCATCCTCATTGTTCCCCCCTCATACTGTAATAAACATCACCACGTGGGGTATCCAAGGAATTTAAAACTTTCTCCAATCCAACAAACAGACTTACCAGTCTACAAATTTACCTACTTTTCTCCCTCCTAAGGTATGGACACGGCAAACGAACATCGTCAGACTTGGTATTTTGAGACTTAGCATCTTTGAGACTTAGCAAGTGGGGTGGTAAGCACGTTGAAACTCGACTAACGATGCCGAACCGAAATCTGCGGTGTCCATGCTGGTGACGGGCACATTAAATCTGTAAGCCGGAATATCCTTCCTTTGGATTGGAGGATGAGACGAAAAAAAAATATTAAGCCCTCAGTTGCCTCCTTAGGGAGTGTTCTTACAAAATAGCAGTGACACACATAACTTCTCCCACACCATTCTACTATAAAGGAGTGTCTTAGTTCTAGCCTTGTGGCTGTAACATTGTAGTAGTAGTAGTAGTAAGTAGTAATACTATACTACTGTGTCCAAAAAAGTAAAACCAATTTTCAATTTAAAATTCCAGGGGCTTATGGAATTTCAATTTTTTTTTTCTTTTTTTAAGTTGCTGGCACTGTTTTTGGCATGTGAAATTACACTTCAAAGTATTCATGAGTGTTTGAGTTATGCATGGCTTTGTGAGACGCTAAAACTGATTCCGGCGATTTTTGAAATGCCTGAATAAATTACGCAAAGAACTTGCATTCAATTTTGTTTGAGGAAACGTATAGAATGTTGCAGAAGGCATTCGGTGAGCATTCCTATATCGGAAAGAAATGCTTACAAGTGGTAAAAACAGTTCAAAGAAGGCAGAGAACGCATTGACGACGAACAGCCCTCTGGTCGTCCATCAACATCAGCTGACGAAGCTCACGTCCAAAAAATAAAAGATTTGGTGCTTGCAAACCGTCGATTTACAATTAGAGACCGTGCTGATGATGTTGGAATTTCAAAAGGATCGGTCAATTCCATTTTGGGCCACAAACGCGTCAAATCTCGATTGATACCGAAAACACTGAATGCGCCAGCTCACACTGCATTAATTCTTCGTGACTTTTTTTACCAAAAATGAAACCGATATCGTTCCACAACCACTGTATTCACACCGTGCGACTTCTAGCTATTCCTTAAACTCAAAAGACCGTTTTGATTCTATAGAAGAGATTCAACGTGAATCGACGCGTGCTTTGAAAGGAAAAGATGGTAAAGGTGCATTGGTAAAAAGTTGGCATAAGTGCATTGTGTCCGGAGGTGATTACTTTGAAGGCGATGAAATAAATTTGAAAGTATAAATAAAGAGTTTTTGAAAAAATAATAATGATTGGTTTTACTTTTGGGGCATAGTAGTAGTAGTAGTTTGAAGACTTAACGCAGCATCTACATTACTGCCTTTTGATCTTCTGGTCGAAAATAATAAACAAAAAGGGATGCTACTTGGTTACATTCCAAACACAACCTTTTTAATCACATTCCATAAATATATGACTTCTCCTATTGCAGACATATCCCGCCCAAACACTTTAAATATTGCACTTATTAAAAATAAATGGCTGCTTTACTTTCTCTCCTCTAATGTTTTTTGCGAAAATTAATTTTCGTGAAAATGATGTTGGATAAACATTGAAGTTCAGCTAAACATTTGTTTTGTTTATTCCTTTTTTTTTTTTTTTTTTTTTTTAACAAGACGCACAGAATGACTGTTGTAATGGCTCTTAATGAAAATGAATGTTGTAATGTCTTTTAGTGAATGACTGTAATAATGACTTTTCTCTCCGAACTTAAGTTGCTTTGAATGATATTATTACGAACTTATATTTTGAGTTTTTAATGGAATATCGTAAGTCATGAATTTTTTTTTTAATTTTGTGAGGATATTTTTAATTTAATAAGGTTTTAATATGTGTTTTTTAACCACTTTTATGTATTATTATTAACTGACTGTTTTTAATAAGCAGCCATTATTAATTGACCATTTTTTAAAAGAAGCCATTTTGAAGTAACCGTGTTATTTTTTAAAAGGCAACCTTTATATTAAGTGAACATTTTTTAAAATAAGCCATTATTTAACTGGTCTTATTATTAAAAAGCAGTCATTATTAACTGACAATTTTTTAAAAGTAGCCATTATCTGTTGTCGTATCCCTCATGGAATGAGGGAAGGGAGAGAGCAGCTTCTGTTATGATGGAGCTGCGTGTTGCTGAAGAAGAACGTCAGTGTCTTCCGAGAGGACTTTTTAGGAGGAACTACCCCACATTTGTGTATCGTAGGGGAGAAAACCCGAAAGGCATTCCGACGGACGAGGAAAGATGCTAAACATCCCAAACACCATTGATTCCCATCACCATTGAACCTCCACCCTAATACTCACTAGCGGCGCACCATGCCCCTGAGCCCTTAGTCAAGAAGCTATTATTTAATTGACCGTATTATTATTTAAAAGTGTCATTATTAACTGACCATTTTTTAAAAACAACAAAACATTGTTTAATTGACAGCATTATTATTATTATTATTATTAAAAAGCCATTTTCATGTATTATTATTTACTGATCACCGAAGTCAAGCATCATTGGGCACGGTCAGTACTTGGGTGGGTGACCACCTGGGAACACCGCGTGCCGTTGGCATTCACAAATTTGGGACCTGAATGGCCGAGTGTCTAGCGCTCTGGCGCTCGGTGCCACAGGTTTCGGGTTCGAGTCCCGGCGGTGCCAAGGATGTTTGTAGTGGTTCGGAATCCACTTTAAGCTGTAGGTCCCGGTCTCCTATGACTGTAAGAGCGTCACGGAGCAAAAGTCAGGCTTCTACCTACGGGGTGCTCCATCACAACAGAAGCTGCTTCCTACCCCTTCAATCATGAGTACGTATAGGCTCGTGGGCTTGGCCAGCCAAGTGGGATAATAAACAACAACAACTGTCTTTCCTGAGGAGTAGAGAAGAAATCAGTGGAAAATGTTCTCTTAAAAGTGCTTCTCCGTTTTGTACAGGAGAAAATATGAAAAAAAAAAAAAACCCTCTTATTAAGGAGTCCGAATGAATCCAAAGCTCACTGTGTCCACCGAATCTACTTATTTTCCAAAAAAGTCAATGCCAACGTTTAGGATTAAAGTTGGATGTATTACCCTTATTTAGTGACTGACATACTATATACATGCATACTTCTTATACATATAGAACTGATTTACCTTCTACAAAGATTGCTCTACTGGTGGAAATAAATCGCAGTTTCAAACGGAGAGATACGACATATTTTCCGTAGTTTCTACGGAAAAAAACAAACATTTTGAGTGGGCCTGTTGAAAATAAATAAACAACTGACAAAAAAAAAAAAAAAAAAAAAACAATAACTTGACAAAAAAAAAAAAAAAAAAAAAAAATCCTACGTAAATTTCGAGAGAGAGAGAAAAAAAAACCCAACGCCAGTTTTCACGAAAAATAGGTAGTTATTAAATAAAAAAATTCTAAGTAACATTTAATCTTAATTGATAGTATATACAGCTTAACAGTGTTGCCGTTATCGTTTTACTTTGTTATTAAAAAGAACTGTCAATTTGTGATGTCTTTACTTAAAGGCTAAAATTTAATTTGCTTAGTACAATATTTGTGTATGTATAAGCTTTTGTTGTAAATTTTCATGAAACTCTTTTTCATCATCATCAGTGTCACAACAGCCCCATGGTGGCCAAGGTCGTCTGCCTACTGGCAGATTTTGAGACAGGATATGTTTTGTTTTTACGTGGTGTGGTAGGGTTATCAGCTCTATAGTCATATTAGACCAAGACCTACAGTTTAAAATGAATTCCGTACCACTGCAAATATCCATAGCACCCCTGGGACTCGAACACGAAACCTGTGGGACCGAAAAACAAAACGCTAGTCACTCGGCCATTTTAAATCTTTCATTCTATTATTATTATTAGTTTTACTTTTTTTTTTTTCTGAGAGAAATGACACTTTTTGATTACTTATGCTTTATATTCTATAGTTTCCACAGTAAAAAAGCTAAAATTCTTATTGTGAACTTAATTCGTTTCATAATCTACTCCATTTCGAAATTTGTAACTTATTTCCTTTTTTTTTTTTTTTTTTTCAGGTAATAATTGTTCCCCACTCGCACAATGATCCCGGATGGCTCAAGACCTTCGATGGCTACTTCATGGCGTACACCGCCCACATTCTCAACAACATGGCGGACAAGCTTGCTAAATACAAGGACATGACCTTTGTTTGGTCTGAAATTTCATTCTTCTCTAGATGGTGGAATAGGTAAATAGTTTTAAATTTCTCTGTATTTCTGAAATACCAAGTTATCACTATATACATCATGTTATCATAAAAGTCTCATGTTACATATTATCATACTAGTCTCATGTTACACATTATCGTAATAATCTCATGTTACACATTATCGTAATAATCTCATGTTACACATTGTCGTACATATTATCATGCAATTCTCATGTTACATATTATCAATTCTCATGTTACATTTTATCATGCAATTCTCATGCATATTTTCTCATGTTACATATTATGCATTCTCATGCATATTATGCATTCTCATGTTACATATTATGCAATTCTCATGTTACATATCATGCCAATTCTCATGTTATCAAATTACTATACAATGCATTATAAACAGGTTATTTTGAAAGTTTGGACCAAAAGTAAATCTCAATAAAAAGAGCACCTCGGATTAGTGAAACATGTCATTTACAGATTCATTGAATTTTTGTATGATATCAAAAATATTCAAAGTTTTGGTACTAGAGGAACAGTTGCAGAGTGACACATCCATGCTACTCACCCAAAACAGTAATAGCATAAGATATAACAACAATTATTATTGATCCTACACAACAACCATTAAAAGAGATACATTTTTAATTGTGTCAAACATTTTCTGGACATTGAACAGTTTTTATGAAGATGCACAAATTCTTATCACTTAAAGTGAATCATGATGAATGGATCATTGAAAAAAAATATTTCACATTTACTGAACTACCACTTAAGTACACATTGCAATACACAGTTCTAACATCATCAGATCTCGCACCTTGGGATTTCTGGTTGCCGAGTAAATTTAAATTTTCTGTCTTTACCATACTGAAAGACACCATACAACTGAAGGCACCCGCCATTCTCACTGATCATCTTTTCAACTAGACTCTGTACTGGAATGGGATGATGGACACACTGTGCACTTCTGACTATAGATCAACTACAATAAAAGTCAGCGACTCTAATTTAATTACTATTTCATTTTATCATTGTCATTTTTTTTTTATCTGCAGCAACATCTTCTAGTATGAATATTTTGAACTATTTTTTGTCATACAAAATCTTATTACTCCGTGAATATACTCATCTGCAGACCATTTGTTAAAGTTCATTTACTACTGCATTTACTTTTATCAAAATTTTTTTTAAACATTTAGCATGTGTCTATGTTATAATATATCATATTGTATATATATATATATATATATGTGTGTGTGTGTAATATGTATATGTTATAATGTAACACATTATACATGTGTGTGCTACACAATATACCATATCACATCTATCCACATTACATCATATCACATCTATTCACATTACATCATATTACATCTATTCACATTACTGTGCAGTGCATTATAATGTGTGTGCATTAGTATGTATCTGTTACAATGTATCACATTATGCATGCGTGTGTTACACAATATACCATATCACATCTATCCACATTACATATTATCACGTCTATCCACATTACATATTATCACGTCTATCCACATTACATATTATCACGTCTATTCACATTACATATTATCACGTCTATCCACATTACATATTATCCACATCCACATTACATATTATCACGTCTATCCACATTACATATTATCATCTATCCACATTACATATCATCACGTCTATCCACATTACATATTATCACATCTTTCCATATTACACCATATTATCACATGTATCCATATTACTGTGCAGTGCATTACATTGTGTGTGGGTCTTTAGAATGTATCTATGTTATAATGTATGACATTCTACATGCATGTGTTATACAATATATCATATTATCGTATCTATCCACATTACATATTATCACATCTATCCACATTACATATTATCACATCTATCCACATTACACCATGTTATCATGTGTATCCACATTACACCAGTTATCACATCTATCCACATTACTGTGCAGTGCATTGCAATGTGTGTGCTTGTTTAGTGTGCATCTATGTTATAATATATCACATTATGTGTGTTACACAATATACCATATTATCCACATTACATCATATCACATCTTTCCACATTACACCATATTATCACATATTCACATTACTGTGCAGTGCACTACAATGTGTGTGCTTGTTTAGTGTGCATCTATGTTATAATGTATCACATTATACCTGTTTGTGTTACATAATATACCATATTATCCCATCTATCCACATTACTATGCAATGCATTACATTACTATACCAAAACTTATTACTACAACATTATATGTATATATAATATTTGCTATGAAGTATATTTATCTCATATTATCACAGCATTATATATATATATATATATACTATATATATGTGTGTGTGTGTGTGTGGTATGTGTTGTGTTGTATTATACAGTGTGTTACGCAATATATATTATCTCATATCCACATTACTGAGCAGTGTATTACATTGCTATACAAGAACTTATTACTACTATCATTATACTTCATAGTATATATGATTATATATATGTATGCATTTATGTTATTATGTATCACATTATGCATGTCAGTATTACACAATATGTCATATTATCACATCTATCTACATTACTGTGCATATATATATATATATATAATCATATTTGCTATGAAGTATATTTATCTTATATTATCATAGTATTATATATATATATATATATATATATATGTGTGTGTGTGTGTTTAGTATGTATCTATGTTATAATGTATCACATTATACATGTGTATGTTACACAATATACCATAGTATAACATCAATCCACATTACTGAGCAGTACATTACATTGTTATATAAAAATCGATAGTAGTAATATACATATTCATAAATAAACTTCATAGTGAATATGATTATATATATAATCATATTTGATATGAAGTATATTTATCTCATATTACTCTGTGAATTATTGTTAAGAGATGTTCCATGCAATTAAAATCATCCAAAATTCACAGTGGTGTAGTATGGAAAATACTGCAACAGAAACATAATGCTTGCAAGATTTCTTTTTATTAACCTTCAACATATAATGAATGGATCATTGAAAAGCATTATGTTAAATGCATTATCATTGGTGTACATAATATGCATTTAATATAGATTAGTATCTGATTTGGATTTTTTTTTAAATATATAAGCTAGAGTGGGAATGTAGTGATTTTTGAGATTTCTAGCAGAGACCATTCATCATAAAATCACATTTTGTCTCAGCCTCACCTTTTTAAGTAAGAATTAATTTCTAAACAAGGTGACTAAAGTTGTAATCTCTCATCTGGATTGTCTCCATTGCTTTTTATTTTCATTGCCTTTATTGGATTTTTATCATCTTTTTAGAATTTAATCTTATTTG